AGACGGGGTTTCACCATGTTGACTAGGATGGTCTTGATCTCTTGACCTCGTGATCCACCCACCTGAGCCTCCCAAAGTGCTGGGATTATAGACATGAGTCACCATGTCTGGCCGCATGGAAGCCATTTAACTGAACTCCATGAGAGGCATTGAGTAAGAGCCAGCTACAGGAGTCCGATCAACCCATAGAACTAACTGTGAGATAATTTTGACTTGTTTTAAACTGCTACATTGGGAGTGATTTGGGTTGTAATACAGCAATTGACAACAACTATAATAGTGGCAAAATAATGACAATTTCATCACAGGATGTGCTCCTATGAACATGGGTATCAAAGATATTTCAAGTGAGGTGAAATTAGTGGTAGTTTACATGACATAGACAGATGTCATGGTAATCCTTATTCTACTTTTTTAGCTGGTCCCTAGAAGTTAATAATTGGATCATTGTTCTATTACCATTTGGATTTTTAAATACAAATATTTACTCTACAAATGTAGTTTTTTTGGGAGAGGTAATGCTCTACACCAGAGTACATCAAATGCTTTTTTTTTTTTTTCTTTTTAGATAAAGTCTTGCTCTGTTGCCCAGGCTAGATTGTAGTGGCGCGATCTTGGCTCACTGCAACCTCCGCCTCCAGGGTTCAAGCGATTCTCCTGCCTCAGCCTCCTAAGTAGCTGGGACTACAGGTGTGCAACACCACGCCTGGCTAATTTTTATGTTTTTAGTAGAGTTGGGGTTTCATCATGTTGGTCAGGCTGGTCTCAACCTCCTGGAACTTGTGATCCACCTGCCTCTGCCTCCCAAAGTGTGGGGATTCCAGGTGTGAGCCCCACGCCCAGCCAGCAAATGTTTTCTGATGGTGCTAGATAGCAAATTTTTTAGGCTTTGTGAGCTATTATAGTTTTTGTGGCAACTACTTAACTCAGCCAAGTTGATCTAGATAATATGTAAATAAATGGCATGCCTGCGTGAAATAAACTTTATTGACAAAGATAGATAACACAATATATTTGACCTGCAGACTGTAGTTTGTTGACCCCTGTTCTTTTTTTTTTTTTTTTTTTCTTTAAGATGGGGTTTCTCCATGATGGCCAGGCTGGTCTTGAACTCCTGACCTCAGTTGATCTACCCATGTTGGCCTCCCAAAGTGCTAGGATTACAGGTGTGAGCCACCGCGCCCGGCGACCCCTGTTCTAAACAACAATTTCTACAGTCAACAGAGAGGTGATGATATTGCTTGAGTCTCATCAGGATCGCGTTTGGCTGCTGTATCTCTAAGTCCCCTTGCCAGTCCTTCCTAGTGTCTGTCACGGGCGTCTCCTCCTAAGTTTGAAATGTGCTCCTCAAGCCCTTCTTCTCTCTGAGCCATGATTTCAGCTAATGACAATTTGCCAAAGACTAAGAGACATCTATCTTTATTTAGCCTTTTACCCAGAACCCCAGGCTTTTGTATTTCCTGTTGGATGTCTTGCCAGCACCCTATCTATGTTCAGTGCACTTTTGGGCTAGTTGTTAACCTGTCGTCTTGCAACTCCAAATCCAAATAAAATGTAATCACTATGTGATAGGTAACTATGGCTGGGTCTCTGCAGTTCCATTTCTTTTTTTGACAGCTGTTAGATTCTGTCAGTAGACGGCATTAGAGGAGAAAGAAGGAACTTGCTTCTTCTTTGCTTCTTTGTTATTTCTGTCCCTTTTCGGGTTCCTGTGAGTATTTCTTCAACAAAACTTCAATCAGAAACACAGTTTCTTTTCTGCAGTAGCAACCAAATCTAGTTTTTCCGAAAGTTACAAACCACAGCCATGACTACTCACCTCCTCATCACTTTCCTCAGCACCAGTGGGTCAGTGGCCCCCCCTTGGAGGTTTGGGTCCCAGCCCTTCAGGACTCCAAGCTTAGGGACACTGAGGGACACTGATCAGCTGAGCAGCACCTTCTAGTTGACGGCCTGAGCTTTGGCTTGCTAAGTTCCCTGCTCCACGTTCCTGAGTTTTAGCCGTTTCCACTTCTCTTTGATTCCCCAGCCCTAAGACACAGTAGATGCTTTCTGTAATGGCTTTCTTTCTTTCTTTTTTTTTTTTTTGAGACGGAGTTTTGCTCTTGTTACCCAGGCCGGAGTGCAATGGCGCGATCTCGGCTCACCGCAACCTCCGCCTCCTGGGTTCAGGCAATTCTCCTGCCTCAGCCTCCTGAGTAGCTGGGATTACAGGCACGCGCCACCATGCCCAGCCAGTTTTTTGTATTTTTAGTAGAGACGGGGTTTCACCATGTTGACCAGGTTGGTCTCGATCTCTCGACCTTGTGATCCACCCGCCTCGGCCTCCCAAAGTGCTGGGATTACAGGCTTAAGCCACCGCGCCCGACCGGCTTTCTTTGTGAGAACTTGGTGTTCATATTTTCCCCTTGCTGTCTTCAGTTACCTAATTAATAACTCCATAAGTTAGTTAACCATTCTTTATATTAAATTTCCGTTCCTACATCTGGCACAGTTTCTTTCTCCCAACTGAACCCTAAAGGAGTTTCTATTCTTGGCTAAAAGTGGCTCCTACTACAGTGTCTTCTTTCGTAGTAAACGGCACCAGAAAACCTTTCCCTAGTCCCTCCCCAATGGCTCAAGCAAGTATCTGGGCATCATTCTTAACCTCTTCTGCTCTCTCACCTCCCAGATCCCACCAGTTGAATGAGGCCTATACATGTGGCTTCTGGAACGTTCCTTCGATCTGTCTGCTCCTCTTCTTTTCTGTGCCTATAACCCTAAACCAAGACACCAGCATATCTCACCCGGATGGTGATCTCTACTTTATAACTGACTTCCCCACATTTCTGTAGCCCCTCAATCTGTTCTCCCTACCACAGCCCTAAAGATGTCTTAAAACCATTTTCTAGTTAAATATACTCTAAAACATTCCAAACTTAATGTATAAGTCCTGCAAGTTCTCCTGCATCTGCAGTTCATTTTGAAATATCTTCTTCACTTTTTGGTTCGTTTTTTGATTGTGCCATGCTTTTTTTTTTTTTTTTTTTTTTTGGAGATAATCGTGTAGTTTTTATTATTTGACTTCATAATAAAATCAGGTCATTTTTATTTGACTTTTATTATTTGACCCTTATTTAATTGGATTTACAATAATCAAAAAACTTCTACAATTCATGAATTACTTCTCCTTAGCTCAGTTTCTCCATATATATTCTGTTATGTTTGACTGTTGTTTTATTTTTTCATTTAGGTTTTGCAAATCTATTCATAAAACTAATTGGGCCAGGCGCCGTGGCTCATGCCTGTAATCCCAGCATTTTGGAAGGCTGAGGCAGGCAGATCACTTGGTCAGGAGTTTAAGAGCAGCCTGACCAATGTGGTGAAACCCCATCTCTACCAAAAAATACGATATAGCCAGGTGGCCATGCTTTTTTAAAAAACACCTTTGGTACAAAGTGATCCCTCTGTTTAGAAATATCATCCCCTTTTTACTTGCAAAGCCACTACACGTTCTTTAAATGTTGTATAAATATAATTTTCTTAGTGACAGTGTTTCTGACCTCCCAGACAAGACTATTCTGCCATTCGTTCCATAGATCATTGAACATCCCCTTTATTCCATAATATTCAGTTAGCCCATAAGTAGCTGTCTAGATCATAAGGACCATACAGGCAGACCAGTCTTGCCCAGTACAATATTCCCAATATCTAACTTTTTTTCTGGCATGGTAGATACGTACTCAACACATATTTGCTGACAGTCAATTTCTGCTTTTTTTGTATATACAGAGGACTCTTGGGCAACATAGATTTGAACTGTGTAGGTCCATTTATAGACACATTTTCTTCTGTCTTTGCCAGCCCTGAGACAGCAAGACCAATAACCTCCTCAGCCTATCTGACATAAAGACAAGGGTGAAGACCTTCACTTCCACTGAATGAAAAGTAAATATATTTTCTCTTCATTATGATTGTCTTAATAACACTTTTTTTCTAGCTTATGTTATTGTAAGAATACAGTACATAATACGTATATATAATACAATATATGTGAATCAACTCTTTTTTTTTTCTCAATAACATTTTTCAACAACTTAACAGTGTGAATCAACTCTTTATGTTATCATAAGGCTTTCAGTCAATAGTAGGCTCTTGGTAGTTAAATTTTTAGGGAGCCAAAAGCCAAATGTAGAATTTTGACTGTGTTCCTAACCACCACGTTGTTCAAGGACCAGCGTATATCACAGGGCCTCTGAGTTGACTACGAAAGCCACGTGCTTCCTCAGAAGCTCTAGATCCCTTAGGATTGGCTTTTAAACAGAAGGTTCTTTCATTTGTTTCACATCTCCTGATGCCAGTATCCCCTGGTGGGTTCTTACAATGATTGGAGAAGTTGATTGATCAGAACTTACTACTTGGAGCTTGACTGGAGACCCATTACTAACTTCTACATTTTCAGAGGGTCCTATCACGTCACACAAGTTTCCTGAGTACGACTTGGGTCCAGGTGCATCATGGTACTTGGTGCATTTAAACCCCAGTAGCCGATGATGGATGTTCCTCTATTTCTAACAACCAGTATGTTATTCCTTTACTAAAAACATCAACACGCTAGTTTCTTTCTAGTTCCCTGAAATGCAGTCATTATTCCTCAAGTGAAAAAAGTAGAAATACCGTCGGGGAGTGGACTAAAACACCGATGAAAGGGCTTTACAAAATTATAAAACCGAGAATGAAGTCGCAGATCATGAAAATAGAATATGAAAATGAGCATGATAATGAAGAAAAATCATGAAACCATATGAACACAGTCTGTTGGAAAAGCAGCAGATTAAATAAATCCATATTTGATTTTGGTCACACTTCCAGGGAGAGAGCTGCATTTACTTTAAAAAGAAAAACAAACAAAAAACAACCCGAAGAACTTTGATTTCTTTTTATCCTCCAAACAGATTTGACCCAAGATGGACAGTTTCCTTGAGAATAATAGATCTTTTTCCTTCAGCTCAAAGTTTTACCTTTTGGATTGTATTCCACACACGTTCTTTATCGTTTCTTCTTCCTTCAAGGGTGTCCATAGCGTCTGCCATTAGTGACTGCAGCTGTGGCACCAAGATAAAAATTATCAGTGTGGAATTCACACAGAAATAACTTCTCTAAATACACAGATTAAAACCTAATTAAAAAATCATTTGTACGCTGATGATTTTATTATTCATCTTGCCTACAATGAATATTGCCACCTCATCTTTGCTTGTCATTGCTGAATATTATTGCAGATATAAAATACTGAAACAATGAAAAGATTCTTCTTGAAAATTTGTAGAGAACATATAGGTTTTAATGTAGTAAGTGTTGATGTTTTGTGAAAAACAGATTTGGGTTGTGAAAAATGAAGGCAGTAGTTAATTCTCTCAGGAAATGGCATGTAGTACACGAATGCGTTTTAGCGTTTTCTCCTGAGGCTAATGTATCATGATTCCAGGCATCATGCAAAAGCTCACCAGAGGACAATACTATAATTGTACCGTTTTACTGCCTCTTAAAGAATCTAGCTCATTTAACTTCTTTTACTATTCTTTTCTTTGTTAAAATTTTGAAATAGCCAAGTTTTAAAAAATGTTTTATTTTTAGGTCCCATTCAAAGGCAAGCTTTAAATATTCTAACCTTTGCCCCAAAAGGCACCTGCTGTACTCTAATGTGAAACTATCCTGTACATGTGACCACAAAAATGAAGTGAATTATATCAAGCAATGTGATATTCAAAGGTTAAAAAAGTTCTCAAAAATTACCAGTTGAGTTCACTATGACATCAAACAGTATGGACCCTTAGGTAGTATTTTTTTGGTTTAGATATTTCAGAGAGTAAGCAGGGGGAGAGAGAACTGAGTCACTTAAAAATCTTCTATTAAGCAGTCACTGTTTAGATAGCACCATACAGAGTATTACTAGGATTAATTATCTAGGTTAACCCACACCTGGAAGTTGCAAAGTAAAATCTATTATTGAAGATCATGAAAACTTACATGATTTTTAAATATTTGGTACACAGATATACCTCCATATATATCTAAATTTTTTCTGGTGGGTATATAGATACAAAAGTATCCAATGAAATTTCATTTTCTAAGGTTTCAAACAGAGAAAAATTACAGTTTAAAAAATGTCAATAATGCTAGTTTGGGGCTCTTTGAGTACATTTTGAAAAATAAGTATTTCCAGCAAAAAACAACAACATAGATGTATGATTAAGAAGACTTAAGTGCAGAGAACTCCCCTGTATTTTTCATGTAAATTTTGAATGTGTTTTTCAGGAAGACAGGATCGACATTTTGCCGGCTTCTTAAATTAACATTTTCTTTGCTTCCTCTTATCTCAGAGGAGCATTAATCATCTAAAATTGGCTATAATATGCACCTTGAAAGCTCCATACTTACTATACTTCTGAGTGCCTTATGAATGGCAGGATAAACACTTAGCCTTTTAGAACGCGTTCTTTTGCACACAACCATAAAGGTTTAGAAAGTGTTATTGCCAGTTTTGACTTGGTAATTCCTTGATTCATAGACTTATTTCATAGTTTTCATCTTTAGTATGCATAGTTTTATTATCTGGCTAGTCATACAGTTTCGTATGCTTACTCTGAATATCAGTATTTATTTAACATGCTTTTAGCAAGTTAGATGAACGTTATAAATGTTGGCAGCTCGTTTCTTGATTAAATCTTAAACAGCTCAAAGAGGGAGGTTTTCTTTAGTTGTCTGAAAATTACAGGTAATCAGTTTGGGCTGTTCTCATCCTTGCTATGTGAATTCAATTCAGGGCTATAATTAGTTTTAGCTACTCTCAATTAAAGCTTCAAAGTAAAGGGCCTTTCCTACAACACATTAAGATCTCCGTATAGAGTAAAGTTTACCTTTTCTTGAATGAGCAGCACACTGTTTCGTAATTGTTTTTCAAATGAGGTGCTATCATTTCTGATATTAATTATGGTTATAATAGGCACATCTGTCTGAAGACTATTCTTCGAGACATCCCTTCAACTAGTTTTGCCTGGGTCTGTGTGTGGCCAAAGTGTCTGTTTTTCTGAATTAAGTGGTCAACTCAGTTAAAAAACCCAACTATTTGACTAGATACATTTTCCCTTCAAATAAAAAGCTTTTGTGGATTTATCTAAATGTACTAGTGTTGCTTCTGCCAATACATATTTTAACCCTAGAGGTGATTAAGAAAACTCTCAAGATGATTTTGTAGGGTCATTTTTCTATACAGCAATCACTCTTTTGTCCTCTAACTTATTCATAAAAGAGAATCATGTATTAATATACCTTGGAGTTTAGGAAACAATCTCATTTTACCAAAAACAAGAAGCCTGACATACAATATAAATAACCAGCCCTTTTCTCTGTTTCTACAGGTCATAAAGTTTTTGCTGTCATAATGGAAGCTGGTTAATGTGAGCAAATAAAAACCAGAAACACACCTTTCCACATTTTTCAGTTTTGTCATTAGAATGGTTCATGGGGGTTGGGGAGTTTGCCCTCAGACTGCATTTATTACCATGATGTTTTTTTTTTTTTCAAGACCGTATCACTTTTCTGTTGGCTCTGGGCCCACGAAACCCTTCAACAGAGAAAACTACTTACCAATTCCGCCTCCTGTTGACTGAGGTCCTGTAGGTAGGGAATGGTTGCCAGCTCTGCCATCGCTTGATTAATCACCTGGGACTGCTCCTTTACTCTCTGCAGCTGGCTGAGGAGGCTGGCATATTGCAACTTCTCCACAACACCTGAGCATGCAGGAAAACGCCCCTAGTCTCAAAGTAAAAGAAATGTTTTAGAACAAAACCACAGAAATAGACCTCTCCCCAGGGAGGGAAGTCAGGGCTCGTGATAATGTATTTACATCTTTTGAAACAATGGAATCTAGTACCAATACATGTTTCCTTCTATCATTTTACAGAATTGTCTTATACCTCCTTTTTTTCCCACTAGGTAAAATACACACAAAAGGGAGCCCTTTTGAGATGGACTTGCTGATTGTCTTGCATTAGGGAGCTAGGCTGAAGGGAAGAGAGGGGACTGGATTTGAATCTGTACTTCACTCACCCAGGGGTGATCCCACAGAGCTGTGTCTGCCTAGAAGGGGTGACTTTAGCTACATCACCAAAGCATCATAAGAGCTAAGAGCTGCCTACTATCTTTATTTGAAAGTAAAATTTTTAATGCAAGTCAAATCTTGACAAATGTTGTATTAGCTGAATTCTGTTTACCGCAATGGCTTCTATGAAACCTCCAGCTCTGCTTTTATCTCCAGTACTTGTGGGATGGCCTTGCACAGTCTCCCCTTCTTGTTGACTAGCTTCACTCTGTCTATTAGGACCATTTCAATAACTAACACGTTCCATCTTGACCCAGACTACTGTGTGCCGTGCCTTGGCCAAGTCCCATGCGTCTATTGGCATTTTGGCCTTTCTTAAGATGGGACACACTTAGAAAAAAGCGGCCCACCATCCACAAAAGAGGAGACATTACCTTCTATAAAACATTTAGGCCAGGTGTGGTAGCTCACGCCTGTAATCTCAGCACTTTGGGAGGCTGAGGCGGGTGGATCACCTGAGGTCAGGAGTTTGAGACCAGCCTGGCCAACATGGTGAAACCTCGTCTTTACTAAAAATACAAAAATTAGCTGGGCATGGTGGCCCATGCCTGTAATCCCAGCTACTTGGGAGGCTGAGGCAGGAGAATCGCTTGAACCTGGGAGGTGGAGATTACAGTGAGCTGAAATCATGCCACTGCACTCCAGTCGGGGTGGCAGAGCGAGACTCTATCTCAAAAAAAAAAAAAAAAAAAAAGTGTAATGTAAATTGTAATACTTGATAGGAGAGACAAAGTTAATCATAAAATTCTCAAGTTTATCTTTAAGAAAAAGTACTTTTGACATGGGGGTATGTAAGAGTTAGCGTAAAAGCCTTGAGTTGCTGCTGTATTTGGAGGGCATGAGAAATGGGAATTCAAAAGAGGAATTAGAGCCGGGCGCGGTGGCTCAAGCCTGTAATCCCAGCACTTTGGGAGGCCGAGGAGGGTGGATCATGAGGTCAAGAGATCGAGACCATCCTGGTCGACATGGTGAAACCCCGTCTCTACTAAAAATACAAAACATTAGCTGGGCATGGTGGCACGTGCCTGTAATCCCAGCTACTCGGGAGGCTGAGGCAGGAGAATTGCCTGAACCCAGGAGGCGGAGGTTGCGGTGAGCCGAGATCGCGCCATTGCACTCCAGCCTGGGTAACAAGAGCGAAACTCCGTCTCAAGAAAAAAAAAAAAAAAAAAAAAAAAGAGGACTTAAGAGTGGCAACTGCATTTTACATCCTGGTGCTCAGAAGAGAAGGGAGGTGACCAAGTGCCCCTTTATGGCAGGGGTCCCCTGGACTGCCTATACCAGAATCACTTGCTTGTGGACTTGACAGTTAGCAAACTGAAGGCTGGGCCTCACTCAATCACAATCTCTTGTTATGTGGCCCTAGAAACACAAATTTCAGGTAGGTGCCTTGCCACATATTCAAATGTCTCAAACAGAAGTTTGAGAACAAACCACCACCTTAAAGCGTAGTATCTGAGTAAAGACTGTTTTGTTTTGTGCCTACTTATGAAACAGAATTTCTTCCAGAAATTAGAGAAGGCAGACATGTAACGTCACTTTCTTAAGAGAATGTCCTCTAAGGAGAAAAATTGCTGGAAATGCGTATGACTGTACTTCAACTTAAAATTAGAAAGCACTTCTTTTTGAAAGGCCATACTCATATTCTGATTGACAGCAACTTCTGGAAGGTGATATTTTTCTAGAATCTTGGAAATAAATAAAGGTTAGGTACCATTGTGCTGGATCCGCTTCTAATACCTATTTATGCTGTTCAACCAATGTCTTCGTACTCTAATTTGTTCTTTCTGTTGAATCATTTACCTGAAAATCTATAAGCCTGTAAGATCGGTGATTGCAAGTGGGAGATTTGGGGTTCCTTCCTGAATTAATGAAAAAGCTAGCCTACCCATTCAGTTTAAACCTGCAGCTAACGAATGGCATTCTGTCAAATAGATGAAAGCAGGTTGGAGGAGAAACAGTTTTTGTTCTGAAGAAAAAATGCTTTCTTTGTCCTTTAAAATGAACAATGGGGCTAGTTGTAGGAAGGTGGTGTAGTGATTCAACCCTAAAGAGCAGAAACTACTGCGGACTGCTCAGGAACATAATCTATCAGTGTAATTTCCCCAAACATCAGGAAAATAAAAACAGTTCTTTGTTAGCCTGAATGTTGGATGCATAACAAAACAGGAAGTGCTCTATTTGAATAAGATAAGAGAGAAAGAACAGAGTTGGCTGCTAATAGTCACCCATCCTCCCAAAGCCAAATGCAGCTTTGGTTATCAGGGTCCTGTAGATTAATCTTTTACCTATCCAAGATAGGGGTTTTTGAAAGACAACGTGAAAAAGAAATAGAATTGATATCTAATGCGGCAGAAATGTTTTAATACTGTTGCTTCAAGGAAATTAAGAAAATAATAAAAAAAATAGGAATTAGCTTAAATATCTAATGCTAACAACGACTAAATCTAAAGGCAGGTAGCCCTCCCAGTGAGGCTTCAGGAATGATCAAAGGGCTCCTTAACTGCTGGAGAGAGTGTAATGAAGTGGCCACGATTGAAGCTAAAACCTCACACAGGTACAATGAGGGCTAGGTATTAGCGAGTTCAAGTGAAGGCTTTGGTCAGAGAATTGTTAAGATTTAATAGCAGTTACAAATAAACATTTGGCGAATAAGTCGCACTATATAATACTGCTGAAAAGCAGAGTCCAAGTATTTGGGATGTATTTCCATTTGGCATAACATATAGAAACATTCATTGCAAAACAGAGGTAGGAAACACTTCTTATTGCTCATTTCAAATGTGCATGTGTAAACATTTTTTTATGCTTCACTTGGAAGAAATTAAAAGTAAAATTAATGAGGTATTAAAACCATGGTTAGTTAGGTCACTTTTTGGCAAGTCATCCTGTGAAGGCGGTTTCATGCGTGGCAAGAGATTTGATGATTTTAACTCTTTAACATTTAGCCCAGGAAGCACAGGACATAAGGTTTGAAACTGACAGCAGCCAATAAAGTTAATGAATGGAAAAGCACAGTGCCATCCAGTAGCATGTGAAATAATTAGGACAAAAATCCAGAGAATGAAAAATACCACAACAGCAAGGCTGCTGGCTACATGGGGTTGATGTTCAGTAGGATTAGAAGTCACAGGCTGGGCGCGGTGGCTCACACCTGTATCCCAGCACTTTAGGAGGCTGAGGTGGGTGGGTCACGAGGTCAGGAGTTTGCCATCAGCCTGACCAACATGGTGAAACCCTGTCTCTACTAAAAATACAAAAATTATCTGGGCATGGTGGCAGGTGCCTGTAATCCCAACTGCTTGGGAGGCTGAGGCAGGAGATCGCTTCAACCTGGGAGGCGGAGGTTGCGTTGAGATTATGCCATTGCACTCTAGGCTGGGTGACAGAGCAAGACTCTGTCTCAAAAAAAAAAAAAAAAAAAAAAAAAAAGAAGAAGAAGTCACCAGGAAGGTGGATCATATTGCCGATTATAACTGTTAAAATACTGGAATTGTCCTTGTCTGGCCATGTGTTGTGTACCTGGGAGACTATTTACAAAGATAAGGAAAGGAGTGTCAGAAGCATAAGGAGAATCATTGTCTGACACATAGAAACTCCCTGAGACCGGGAGAGGTCTTCACCAACTGTATCCACCACCTCGTAGCAAGAGTTGAAAATTCATGTTCTCTAGGAAGCTTTTTTTTTTTGTTTTTGAGTTGGAGTCTCGCTCTGTTGCTCAGGCTGGAGTGCTGCGGCACGATCTCGGCCCACTGCAACCTCCGCCTCTCGGGGTCAAGTGATTCTCCTGCCTCAGCCTCCCAAGTAGCTGGGACCACAGGCGTGAACCGCCACATCTGGCTATTCTGTGTGTGTGTGTGTGTGTGTGTGTGTTTGTGTGTGTGTATGTGTGTTGTAAATGGGTTTATAATGTCGGAAAAAATGCACACCTAACAGTAGATCACTCAGCAAGGCTAGTTTACTTCCTGCAGAAAGGATGCAACTTGCTGGCAGACTTGCCACGAGAGCACACCTGAACAAGGAGACAGGGACATTTATAACTTTCATAGCCTGATGCAATCGCCCTACTGTGTGTCCAGTTTCCATTGGCCGGAACAGGACCTCACATTCTATGCTTGACTCCATTGGCTAAAAACATGGGAATTTTCTGAATAGATAAGGGGAAAGAAGACAAGGAAAAAGAGGAAGCTAGTTAGGAGGTCAGGAGGGTTTCCAAATAGGGAATGGCATGCACCAGGGTTTGCAGCTTGTCCAGTTCTGTTCAGATATGCCGGAGTGAGTCAAGGTAGGTGATTTAAGACGTTGTTGATTTAGAGAACATATATACATAGGTATATGTTTATGTTAATAGCAGATAATGGCCATAGAGCAAGAGATTGTAACTCCTTATAATGTAGTCTAAGATATAAACTTTGAAGAAGAACTTTCCCATCTTTCACACTGTGTGTGTTTTTTTTAATAGAGATGGAATTTCACCGTGTTCGTCAGGCTGGTCTTAAACTCCCGGCCTCAAGTGATCGGCCCACCTCGGCCTCCCAAAGTGTTGGAATTACAGGCGTGAGCCACTGCACCTGGCTTATATTGTTCATTTTTTAAAAATTGTATCCAGCTGTGGAATCATTCCTATGTTGTGTTATGCATGTTTTGCCTCTGGCAAGGATCAAACTTTTAAATCAAAGAGATGTAATATGATTTACTAAAAGAATATTGGAACAATATTCTGAAGCTCTGATTTTGAGCCCTGGTGGTTTAAGCCTGAATATATCACTACTTGGAGCCATAGTTTCCTCACTGGTAAAATGAAAGTGACACAATGTCACCAAATTGTGAGGGTCAAATTAGATAATGTGAGGGGAAATGCTTTTTAAATTGCAGAGCACTATGCCTGTGCTTTTCCTAAGCCCTAGTTCCAACGTGGAGATTTCTGCATGCGATCAGCACCTAATGACCAGGACTGCTCTGTATTTTAAAAAAAGTATGTTTGAGTAAAGAAAACTTCTTCAGCTATTCAGGAGGCTGAGGCAGGAGAATTGCCTGAGCCCAGGAGGCGGAGGTTGCGGTGAGCCGAGATCGCGCCATTGCACTCCAGCCTGGGTAACAAGAGCGAAACTCCGTCTCAAAAAAAAAAAAAAAAAAAAGAAGAAAACTTCTTAATTAGCTGGGCGCCGTGGCGCACCCCTGTAGACCCAGCTAGTCGGGAGGCTGAGGCAGGAGAATTGCTTGAATGCGGGAGGGGGAGGTTGCAGTGAGCCGAGATTGCACCACTGCACTCCAGCCTGGTACCTGGTGACAGAGCAAGACTCTGTCTCAAAAAAAAAAAAACAAAAAAAAAAACTTCTTGATTATCAAATATTTCAAGGGTTTGGAAGCAAGAGTGCTTTGTTAACTTTAGAAAAATTTTTACTCAGTTTATATTTAAATGCTTCTACTGAGAGGAAGTTGCTATACTATCTCTTTATATGTAATTTGTGGAGAACAACACGTGTATCTTTTAGTTTAACGAAGAAAAATTGAAAATGAGAGCATCCAGAATATTCCCTACGATATAATTTAGTGTATTATTGCCAAGTTAACTTTTTTCGAATTAGATGTTAGGTAGGTATTATAAACCTAATATTTACAAGATGACTAGATAGTCAATATGTTTAGGGAATAGATCATAGGAGTAATCTTAGCATTGTCTAACTACTGTTTAGAAATCTACTTATTTGTCATTATTTATGTGACAGTATAAATGTGATAATACTTAAATATTGTGTTACTGATTCTGGTCATTGTATTATGTCAAGAACTAGTATAATCTTTTGGGTCTTCTGCTGTTATGAATGCTGAAGTATTAATGTATTGTATTTTCATATTCCAAGCCCATTTCCATTAAATAACATTGTCCAAATGAGTTAGCAATCTTGGAACATATATGGTATGATGCAAAGTATACTTCCTAGCCATTAGTTCCATTTTTAAAAGTTTTTTCCTTTTTGGGGAGATTGGGGGTGTCACTATGTTGTCCAGGCAGGTCTTGAATTTCTTGGCTCAAGCTGTTCTTCCACTTCTGCCTCCCTATGTGCTGGGATTATGGGCATTTTTTCTTAGCCATTAGGGCTTGATGAAAATGTGACATTGTACTAAGGTAAAGAGTTGTCTGTCTGAAACAGACAACAGAAATGTAAACTACAGCCTTAGTCACCGGTATTAAGGAGGACTGAAAAATCTCAAGCTCTTTAAGATAAATGTATTGCCCAAGACAGTGGTCACTCACTCACTGTCTTCTATTGGAAGTGTCTTGGATATTGATTCTGTTCTACCAATGTGACGTGGTAATCACACTATAAACTGAGTACCTCGACCATACCTTGGCTTTTCTGTTGAAACTGCTCTCTGTAACCCTAATGTGACAGGCAACCAGTCCAAACCCATGCCATTTTGACCCCTAAGACTTGTAATAAGTAACTAAGGTCTGTCATTTCCACCCTACCCAGGCAATGTGTAAACTAACGCTTATCGTGACTTCTGTGAACCACTTAAGTAACAATCGGAATGTCCAAAGTCCCCTGGCCCTCGGAATGTCTGAAGCCCCTCACCCCCGCCCCCACCCAGGAGGTGGTTTACGGGCATAAAAGGTCTTGACACCCTCCTTTCGGGGCCATGGGTTGGAGAGACGTGAGTCCTCCATGGCCACCGGCAATAAAGACCCTGCAATTTGGCCTGCTTTTGTCTTGGTGTTGACTCTCCGTGCTCGCTCCAGTACAACAGCAATACGTGTGAGGCTGCTCAGCTCACGGTCAGAGCCTGCTGTCAACAAGACTGCAGTCCTGACTCTAGCTCATGGCTGGAGATGGCAGCTTGACTCCTGCCTAAGTGAGGGCATCTGAGCAAATCAGTGATCAAAGGAAAGGAAGAGAAGGAAACAAATCCAAAATTCACAGGACATGAGTGCAATCTTCATATTAAAAGAAAAATATGTAATTTCAAAGTACACAGCTTGTATAAAGAAAAAAAAAAGGGTCTGTAGAACAGTCTGTTTGTCAACGCAAACTAACAGCAATACAAATACTTGAAGCTGAAATGCTTAATACTTCAAGAACATGAATTATGTACTTATGGTTCACAACAACTCCCGAAGTGGGCCTGGCAGTTATCAGCCTATTTTTTAAAGGAGAAAAAAGCAGTTCAGAGGTTAACTGACTTTGTCCTAGGGTCACATCGCCAGAGCACGGCCTTGGGCAAAAGCCTTTGTCTACAGGTATCACAATCGAGGGTAACAAATAATAAAGAATGACAATTCAATACCCAAATACTCAAGCGAATGGCATCTGATGTCTGACAAGAGAAAAAGAACACCTTGAAGGGTCTTAAAAACACTACTGAGGTCTGCTTGGGTTACCGTTAATGGTACCATGTAGGAATAATTTCTAGTCACCAATTCATCACTTGCTTCATTAAGCTAGGTTACTTTTGCAGCCAGTTTTATCAATCCTGCTTTATGAAGCTGTGGCTGGGCAAATAATAAGAAACGTAGTGTCAGTCAGGCTTCCATATGCAAGCTCGGACCCAGAAAGTCTAGAGTCCTGCCTGCCTCAGCTGATCACCACCGCACCCCCGACTCCCCCACCCCGTAACACTCCTGCCCCATAACACCCCTGCCCCCTCCCAAAAGATTTGAACCCTGGAGGTGGAGGTTGCAATAAGCCAAGACTGCACCACTGCACTCCAACCCGGGTGACAGAGTGAGACTCTGTCTCAAAAAAAAAAAAAAAAAAACAAAACCCAAAATACGAAAAAACTAAAAACAAAGAGCCATGCCACAGGCAGAGCACCTCCCCAGCACCCAGCACACCGGCTCTGCTGGGCTAGCCGTGCACAGGTGAGATGAAATCATGCTAGGCAGTGATGGTTCTTGTTAGCGAAGCTTTCCCTGCTTGCATGGGCCTGAGGATGACAGTAATGACAGTAATAATGGGTGTGATCTTTAGGATGCTTTTTTTTTTTTTTTTTTTTTTGGTGAGACAGAGTCTCACTCTGTCGCCAGGTGCCAGGCTGGAGTGCAGTGGTGTAATCTCGGCTCACTGCAATCTCCGCCTCCTGGGTTCAAGCAATTCTGCCTCAGCCTCCCGAGTAGCTGGGACTACAGGTGTGCAACACCACGCCCAGCTAGTTTTTGTATTTTTTAGTAGAGACGGGGTTTCACCATGTTGGTGAGGATGGTCTCGATCTCTTGACCTTGTGATCTGCCTGCCTCGGCCTCCCGAAGTGCTGGGATTACAGGTGTGAGCCACCGCGCCCGGCCTGGATGGTGTTGTGTTATGGCAGCCTGAGCTGACTAAGATAGAGATGGATTTCTTATTAATAGAAATATAGGGAGAGCATTGAAATATGGTTGTGGGGAGGGGTAGCTTTGTGGTAGGAACATCAGCAAAAATGTGCTTTTGTATTTGTAATGTGTGGAATTGCAAATCATGCAAATAGATTAGGTGTTTTATAGCTTTTGTACAATGCTGAATGATGTTATTGAGCAGATAAACTGCTGAACAGATGTTAAGTAGCTGTTTGTGATGACCCCCGTGGCTCCCCTTGTAAGGTAAGAACATCAAATCAATGATGGAACACAAAAGAGGGAACAGGAAGGAAATTCTTTAAAATTTCCAACTTATAAGCCTTTTCAAAAATATTAAAAGAGGAGAAATCTGCAGCCTTTATAGCCTGTTAATGAGAAGTTCTCTTTATATACTTTCAGTACAATGGCTTAAATTTTGTTAAATAGCAGTGTAATTCAAGTCTTATTTTGGGCTCTTTAAGACTGAAAAGTAGGAAAGGCATATTTTTCCTGGATCATAGAAAGAGATTAGATAATTTACCTTATGGCTATATAAAGATCAATTGCCAATGTTTAGAGAAGCATCCAATTCATCAGTGTGGTACAGAGGCACTAGCTTGAAAAGCTCTGAATTCTTGTGTAGGTAATGAGATGGTTATATGCAATAGCTCAGTAAGTGAAATAGAGAAAACATTGTGCCCGCTAAAATTTTGTTATTGATTTCAAATGAGAAATTCTCTGCAATGTTGAATTAGATATCAGGAAGGCATAAAGAAAAGGCTCTTTAAAGAGACTTTACCCTAATAAGTGCTTGAAATTGCAAAGTGTAGCATTACAGTATGTTTTAGAATAAAATAAAATCATTAGCTGAAATTTGCTTGTTTTTGCAAATGAGATTTACCGTGAACGTTCCCCAAATCCCCCAGCACCTGCAATATTTGCCACGTAAGCCTTATATACTTCTAGAATTCTCTAAAATTTGTCCATTCGACAAATATAAAAGACTCATATACCTACATTCAGTTGGGTGCTTCTGATAAAATCCAATATTGGCAAGATTCGCTTCGCCATTGTCTCCATTTGTCTCACTGTATCTTCTCTGCTCAACAGACCGAAAGGAGTTTTATGCTCTAAAAATTGCAACAATGAACTTTTATACTACTTTCTCCAGACTTCCATTTCAAAATGTTTTCTTTAGCAAGCTATAAACAGATATCTCAGTGTTAATAGATATGAAATCTTTAGTATAGAAACTAGTCCCATCCGTAGACCATGTGTATAACAAGGAAAGATCTATGCGGAGAAAGGCCGGGGAGATGCTGCCCTTTAGAAACTGTCATTTATTTATTTTGTTGTGTTTCTTGATTGAGAGATCTAAGAGACAGCCTGTAACAATTCACCTATCTCTTCAGAGTATGTTTTTCCAGAGTTGGGAAAAAATGTTGTCATAAATGTGTCTGATTCTTGTCTTGTTCCTCCTAGGTATTATTCAAGTGTGCAGATCCATTGACTTTGAATGTAGCTCGAAGTTCAGATAAGCCTCAGAGGCTACAGTGCCAGACAAAACACAAATTCTTAATTATCTGGTTAGAGCTGCAGGAATAAATTTAACCTGGTCATGAATTCAGCACATAAGTTTGAGATTTCAACTCCATGTGAATATTTTGATTTTTGAAAGTTTCAACCAGGATTACTGAACACCATTTAACTGTAATACTCTCCAAAAGATTTAAGCTCTTGGCTAATTACATTAAAAAAAGAGGGGAACAGACATTAATACAACAGATAATACAACTAATTTAAGATTGTCATAGGCTATATTTTTAATTTCATAGAATAATTTCATTGCATAATTTTCTTCTGCCTTTGCTAATTGATTATGATGAAAATTAGTATTAAGTGTCCTATGATTACGCATTGGCAATAGCGGTGGGTATTCCAGGATTGTGTATGTTCTTGGGGGAAAGAGTTCCTGGAACCAGAATTCCAGGCATTGTTAACTAACTCACAAAGAAGATTAGGAGGAGTTCATTTTAACTTAAACATTTTTCAGGGGGCCCAAAACTCATCACAGGTCCTACTATATGCGAGACCCTGTAAGTTCAGATGATTTACCTGTGAATACCGGCAGCTTCCTACTTGTTATTTTTTCCAAAAATTTTCCATCTTCTTTGTTTTTGAACCCAAGAGTCAAGAGATATTGCTGGGGAGGAAAAGATGACCAGTCAGCTGTCTGAGGCAGCAGGTGGAGCGCCTGGAGATCTGAAATAGACAGAAGGGAACTAAGAGGCTTTGTTACGGTTTTAATAGTTCTAGGGCTTTTCCCCGACAGCTTTCAGGAATTGCATTTGGAAAAGTGATAAATATAAACACGAAAGGCATGAGGTAAAATTATGTGTATCAAAAGGTCAAATAGTTAACATCAAAATCATATTTCATTATACGTTTCTTAGTAATCTAAGCATACCCAAAGCATAACAGTAAAATACGGCTACATTACACAGCTATCTTTCCCCATCTTCAGAATAAGAGACATTCAGGACCAGCTTGCAGGTTTAATATTTTTAGCTGTGACACTTTTCAAGAGAATTTGATTTTTTTTTTTTTTGATGGAGTCTTGCTCTTGTTGCCTAGGCGCTGGAATGTAATAACGCGATTTTGGCTCACTGCAACCTCCACCTCCTGAGATCAAGTGATTCTCCTGCCTCAGCCTACTAAGTCACTGGAATTACAGGTGCCCATCACCATGCCCAGCTAATTTTTGTATTTTTAGTAGAGATGGGTTTTCACCATGTTGGCCAGGCTGGTCTCAAACTCCTGACCTCAGGTGATCCACCCTCCTTGGCCTCCCAAAGTGCTGGGATTACAGGCATGAGCTGCCTGCCTGGTCGAGAATTTGATTTTTCTCTTCATAGCTTAAGATGTAAGGAAATAATGTTAGTTATAAAAAAAAAAAGGAAAGAGAAAAATTACCAAGTGAGGATTAAAATATAAAGCTAATGAATTTAGTTACCATCCTTCATATAGCCATAGGAGGAAATTTAAAATGATAAATACACTGACTATTATAATTAGACTTAGAAATAATTCGTGTCATGAAAATGGTTCTAAAACAGACTCAATTCTTAATGACCATAGAGCTAATTATTTACTGAGTACTTGTTTCCTATCTACCCCTTTTCTAAGAGTCATGTATGTACTGTTTTTTGAATTCCATACAATAACTTCACAAGGTTGGTGCTATTGCCCCACTTTATGAATAAGAGGTTGAGGGACACAGATGGGAAGTCAGTTACACAAGAGCACAGCTCCAAAGAGGGCAAAGCCAGATTCACAACCAGGTCGTCCAGACACCACAGGCATAGCCACCACACTCTTCTTCAGGATTACTTGGTACTGGATCACTTTTGGGGTAGGGATAAAGGCTCACCCTACAGATGATAAGACTGATGCTTCAAGAGGTTACAAACTTGCCCAAGATCACACATTGAGCAAACACAGGAACCGGAATTGAAAGCCAAAGGCTAACCACTCAGGAACCTGGAGGCAAGATTCACATTGCCATTTTGAGTAATGAGATGTCAGTTTATTAAAGTAGATTTCTCAAATGAAGGATGATGAACAGAGAGGTTTAATAAGCCCTCTTTGTTTAACACTGCCAGAAAGGGGGAAAGGCAAAATCTCAAATATTGTTGAATGATGGTTGAGTTAAAGGCAAGATTTTAACGTAGACTCAGAACTCAAATGGTAATGGTTTGAATATAGCCTTCACTATTTGTCTTTAATACTTCTTTTAAAAACAAGACAGTACACCATGAGTGGTTGTTTTGTTTGTTTTGACATGGGATTTCGCTCTTGTTGCCGTGGCTGGAGTGCAATCGCAGAATCTTAGCTCACTGCAACCTCCACCTCCCAGGTGCAAGAGATTCCCCTGCTTCAGCCTCTGGAGTAGCTGAGATTAAGCACCCAACACCATGCCTGGCTAATTTTTGCATTTTTAGTAGTGACAGTGTTTCATCATGTTGGCCAGGCTGGTCTCAAACTCCTGACCTCAGGTAATCCACTCACCTCAGCATCCCAAAGCGCTGGGATTTACAGGCACGAGCCACCGCTCCCTGCCACCATGAATGTTTCCTTTAACACCACCCCCCTTTTTAAGCTGAAGAACCTTCTGTTCAAACTAAAATTTTCTGACAAGCCCAACACTAAAACCCGATAAAAAGTAGGGCATTCTGCTTGAATCCTGGCACACTGATTACCCACCCTTATACTGTACCCTGTTCTATGCCCTACTCACAGTTGCCACCTTGAGCTTCTCCACAGAACCTCAGTTTTTCAAAACAGGAAAACACTGAAGAAAGTTATGTGTCACAATTTGGGTAAGTAAATACTGTATGTCTGTCAAATTGAGAGTTAAAATATCTGCTGATTATTGAAAGATTTAAAATATCACAAAATGCCTTTGAAATGCAAACACAGAGCAAAAACATATTAATCCTAAACATTCTTTAGTTTTTCTTTGGTGACTTAGGATCAAGGTCATCTCTTACTGTTAGTGAGGGCTAATATTCATCTGGCACTTCTTCTGTGCCGTACACATTATCAGGATTATCTTTTTCAATCACGGAGTGGGGAGCTGGGTATATTATCAGGTACACCTAACAGATGATAAAGCTGAAGCTTCCGGAGGTTACAAAGTTGCCCAAGACCACACACTGAACATAGGGACCAGAAGTGAAAATCAGGCAGCTGGATGCCAAAGTACAAAGGCTTCCCACTCAAAACTATCCCCGTGACGGTCTGGGGTCATGGTATAAAAGCTGATGGGAAGCATGCCATACAAATGCCAGTAAACACTCTCTAGAAAACGACAGCAAATGCTCAAGAGTTCTCAAACTAACAGAGTGACTTTTAGGCATTTCAACATGCAGACTGCAGTATTAGATGCTTCTTTGGTTGATGTTTGTGTTACAAAATGCCTTTTTAAAAAAAAAGTATGGCTCATTTTATAAACAAGGTAACAATGTGATTTCTGCTTTTCAATTTCAAAAGTGCAGGAAGTTTCTCTGCTTTTGAAATCTGCAGCTGATAATCCCAGACACACCTGTGTTTGCAAGCAAGTATCTTGCTGAAATATTAGCAGGGGAAGAGCTTACTAGTTTTATTGAAGTTGACAGTAAGTGGATTGTGTGAAAAGGCAGCTGAGTAACCTTGAGATTTGGCATTATCTGGTGCAGCCCTATAGCCAAAACCAGCTTGATGTTTGAGGATTCTCTTACATAGATCCCTAGCCTCAAGACTGAGTGGTTAACCTGTTCATGTCCTTCAATATTTGATAAAGAGTAGACCAATAATAATATGCAGTGATTGGGGCCAGGCGCGGTGGCTCCAGCCTGTAATCCCAGCACTTTGGGACGCCGAGGCGGGTGGATCATGAGGTCAAGAGATCGAGACCATCCTGGTCAACATGGTGAAACCCCGTCTCTACTAAAAATACAAAAAATTAGCTGGGCATGGTGGCGCGTGCCTGTAATCCCAGCTACTCAGGAGGCTGAGGCAGGAGAATTGCCTGAACCCAGGAGGCGGAGGTTGCGGTGAGCCGAGATCACGCCATTGCACTCCAGCCTGGGTAACAAGAGCAAAACTCCATCTCAAAAAAAAAATAATAATAATAATATGCAGTGATTATGTAAAATAGAAATTAATGTCAGTACTATATTATAATACTGACATTATTATAAAATATGCTTGCAAAAGTGTAAATATTCTCTGTTCCTTCTGATCCTGTATGCTTCATCCTGTGAGTATTTGACCCAGTATTATCTTCCATTTGAAGTTTTAAAATGTAAGAGGCTTCTATATACATACAGTTAAATTTGGAAAAAAATTTTTTTTCAGTATCATTCTTTTTTCATTTGTATGCAGGGTGAATTGCCGTTGTATGAACATTTAGCCTAGCAGGTGTTCTATGACCCAAATTGACGACACACTTACCAGGTGTTGAATCTCATGTAACATTAATTTGAGTGCTAATCGTTCTCAATTTTGTGCTCATAAATGTCTACCTATGTCCGAAAAGCCCTGTGCCTCTGATGGATATAAAAGGTAACCAGACTATGTTATCCTTCTGTAGGAAAGTAGAATTGGTTAAAAAACGTCTGCTTTGCTTTTGTCATGTCAAAAGAAACTTGGGAGAAACAGATCTTTTAATGCATCATTCCTTTACAATTTATCCCAATTGGAGATGAAATTTATATGACGATGACTGAATTTATTGTTAAAAAAAATCAGTTTGCATGTGTGACACAGTTTCACATTTTTACCATTAGCCAAGTGGATGCCTTAAAAAATAATATCAAAGATAGTTTATGCAGATTAAATTTCTCGCAGAAATATTATCTTTCAATTTCTTTTCTCCCAGATGAAAGATGTCAAACTTTCATCTGGGGGAAAAGAAACTGAAAGAGGCAAACAGTTTTCCCTTCTTCAGAAATATTTTATTGTACTCCGGAAGGCTGAAATTGACCACTTTGCAAGTCCTCAAGCTATTGCGGCTTCTGGATTTTTTGGTATTGTTGTCATTTCCTTAAAATCATCTTCCTGGAGTTCTGTAGTAGTCTCTCTCTCTCTCTCTCTCTCTCTCTGAGACACAGACACAGACACACAGACACAGACACACACACACACACACACACACACACACACACACACACACACACACACAGGTTCATGTTTCCTCCTGCCTTCTCATTCATGTTTCTCACAGCTGTCCCCAGCTCATTGATATTCTCTTCCTACATAGCCTTGGGAATATCTCTAGTCTTGTGTCTTTGGCTACTATTTTTAACCAAAAAATTGGACATCAAAGCTATAGTCACAGCTGAAATTTTTCACCAAATTCCAACACAGTTTTTCCAACTACCTACTGGGACATTGCTATTTGCTCATCATTCCAAAAGTTACTTAAAATAGAGCAAATACGTTCCTCAAAAGTGATTTTCATAATCTCTACAACTTCTCTTTTCCTTTATTTTAGCCAGTCTGTTATGAGGATAGCCATCATTCACCCAATTACTCTGGCTTAAAATTTTGACTTTTCCTTTGTCTTATTCCCCCTTTAGTGAGTCTCAAAAACTAATTAAACCTGCACATTGCAATACATCCCATATCAGCCTGTTTCTCTGCATTGTCACTGCTATGGCCTTGGTCAAATTTCTCATCACAGGTATCTGGATTATTGAAGTGTTTCCCAGCCAGTCTCA